AGAAAGAAAGAAAGAAAGAAAGAAAGAAAGAAAGAAAGAAAGAAAGAAAGAAAGAAAGAAAGAAAGAAAGAAAGAAAGAAAGAAAGAAAGAAAGAAAGAAAGACAGACTGTGCCCTGGAATGTGAGCACTTTTTCATACCATCAGCATTGGGAACGTGGGGAAAACCTTCATACTGAAAGCAAAGTTCATATCTTACAGTATTCCCAGGACCCCTGATCAAGGAAAACATGGCTGATGACATAGAACATGACTCCTTAGTCTCCCCAGTCAGTAGTATAACTCGCCCAATAGCTGGATACAAATCAGAGCATGACATATTTGGTGCTAGAGATGGCATGAATTTAAAAATTGAATCACAAAATTTGTTTAAAAATCACTAATTTGTCAATTCAAATTTGTACAAATAATACCCTGATGAATAACAAATAAATAAATTTTTAGTGATTTTTAAATTTCTTGATTTGTTTGGCTACAAAACTGCGCCCAAGGCACTTTTTGTTGTTGTTTAGTCGTTAAGTCGCATCCAACTCTTTGTGACCCTATGGACCAGAGCGCGCCAGGCCCTATGGCCCACTATCCACAACAAGCCTACAGTTATTAAATTAATGAGACATAACGTTCAATTTAATGCTTTATTATTCAAATATCAAATTGTGACAGTTCCTCCCTCATCAGGTGAGCATGGGGAAGTTTTCTTTGTAGATTTACTCTATTACTCAATAGTCCAGTTTTTCAATATTCAGACACGGACAGTTACGTTTTCATCAACGTATGAAGACAAGCGTCATCTGGAAATGTACACATTGTTGACAAAGACAACCACCCCCAAAACATAAAATTTCCTTTTTTATATAACAAACAACCTCTCTCTCACACTCACACACAAACCACATTTTTAAAAAAGTCAATGTAGATGAAGATAGAGACAATTTTTGTGCAGTTTTCCCAGATTGTCCAAGACTTTCCTTTCCATGCCCTAAATTAGCACTGATAGATCAAAAGGTACCGGAAACTCTTGGAGAACTTCAGCAACTTATCACCCATTTTCTCTATGGCTTCATCATTTATACAATTTCAGATTCCTGTAATGAAATGGACTATATCTGCTGCCTTTAGGGTAATTCAGTGGTTACTGCATTACTATGATACAGCAGGAGAGGTTATTCAGAATATATGGCATGCCACTGATCCTTCTGAACAAAGTGATCATTAGGAAGGTCCAAGTAGATCATCCATAAGGATTATTAGGTGTTCTCCAACAATTGGAGCTTTCTAATCACATTTTGCTGAAGCATTTAAAATGTATCTCACGGATGATCCAGAAAACATTCCATGTATGCATCAGGAGAAGAGCTAGAAGGTTTTGGCACATGCACCATGATTCCTTCTCCACTCCTACAGCTTACTATGCTTGAACAGAATATACTTAATTGAGCTAGACAGTGTATCTAATATTTACATCTTCTTAGTTGTCCCTTGTCATTCAACTCTGACTTGAGTAAAATTACCTAACATTTGGGAAAGAAGATACAACCAAGCAAACCAATGCTGGAAGTCAAGATGGAGAAGACCTCCACAGCAACCATATATTTCCCCTTGGTGCTCAGATAGGTTGGAACAAAGGACACCCAAACGCTGCAAAAGACCAACATGCTGAACGTAATAAACTTGGCTTCGTTAAGAGTGTCTGGTAACTTCCTGGCCAGGAAAGCAACACACAAGCTGACTATGGCCAGGAAACCCATAAAGCTTAGCACACAGTAGAACATGATTGTTGAACCTTCATTACATTGAAGGACAACTTCTGTGGCCATTGTGTGCACATCAAAGTCTATGAATGGGGGAGAGGTGGCCAGCCATGCAGTACAAATGGTAGCTTGAACAAGGGAGCAGGTCGGGGTTCTCATCTGAAGAAATTCCTGGAACCCCAGAAGATCCTTTGAGCGCACGGCCAACGATAGATTGCCATGGAGGATATTTATATCCCAACTTCTTTGAAAACTGCTTGATGTGAAATCTATCTGGGCTGTCATGATCCAGACTTTCTGCTGAGTTTGGAGAGATATACCTTCCATTTCGGCCATGCTAGGGATGAGTCGGAATAACATAAATGTATCAATTTCACCATGAACTATCACTACGTTAGCTGTGCTTCTCATCACATTGCTGATTATTGTGAAACCTTTCTCCACGACCACAGTGGCATCATTAGAAAATGTGACTTTCAGTAATCGTTCAATAAAATTGAAGCAAATACCTCTTTCAGCAAATGTGGGAAGAATATTCTGTACAAATAGCTCTGAATTGTCCTTGTCTTCAGTTACCACCCCTACCCATGTCCATCCAAAATGCAAAAGTAGTTGCAGAATCCCATCATACTGATGACTCCCTGGGAACATCCAGTGGAGGAAAACACTTTGGAAGTTATTCATAATCACAGGAGAAGAGCCATAGATGAACTAAAAAGGAAGTTTAAATTAGAAATAGCAGTACCTTTAAAGCAGAATTTTCTTTTTGCATACAGTATATTGTCCAAGAGGAGCAGATATATCCTGGTTAGATCCCTTTTCTGAGAAGAAGCAATATTAAATCATTGAATAATACCTATGTAACGATCACCCTGCTTTGGCCCAGGTAGAAGATTATTTTCATGTACCTATGAGAGCTGTTGGGAGGCGGAGCCAGAGAAACTAGAAGGGAGGGGTGAGTCAGAGTGGAATTAGTTCAATCAGAGACAGAGTTTGGAGAAGGAATTTGGGGGTTTGAGGCAGAGAGACTGTTTAGGGAGTGATTAGTCAGACTGTGACCCGTATTAATTAAGATAGAAGAGTTTAAAGTATTTATTTATTTATTTATTCATTCATTCATTCATTCATTCATTCATTCATTCATTCATTCATTCATTCATTCATTTATTTATTTATTTATAACCTGTTTCTGTTTAAAAGTTCAGTGCTTAATGGACCTCAGTCTTTCGTAGGAAATATAGGTTGATAAACAGGGTGGCGCTGTGGGCTAAACCGCAGAAGCCTGTGCTGCAGGGTCAGAAGACCAAGCAGTTGTAAGATCGAATCCACGCGACGGAGTGAGCGCCCGTCGCTTGTCCCAGCTCCCGCCAACCTAGCGGTTCGAAAGCATGCAAATGCAAGTAGATCAATAGGGACCACCTCGGTTGGAAGGTAACAGCGTTCCGTGTCTAAGTTGCACTGGCCATGTGACCACGGAAGATTGTCTTCGGACAAAACGCCGACTCTATGGCTTGGAAACGGGGATGAGCACCGCCCCCTAGAGTCGAACACGATTGGACAAGAATTGTCAAGGGGAACCTTTACCTTTACCTTAAACAGATCAACTGGTGGTAGCGTGTTAAAGGGCGTGTTGGGATACTCGTGCGAGCTCTGTGTTTGGTGAAACCAGCAGGGGCCACGGGGTAAACGCCACAACATACATTCATACATCTTTAAAAAATGAATCTCTTAATGTCTGTTAATACAATACAGAGCCTATAATGAGAACACTCTTAATGCTACATTGCTCCTTGCAATTCAACAGATTTATTTATCTTTACAACGCAGTTCTCAGATGTGCAACACTCTTTGAGAGCTGAGTATGCATGCATAATATCCCCAACCTAATGCGATCTTGATGGTCCTCCTTGCAATTCAACATGTATATACAGAAGTCCATAATTTCCTTTTCCAGAAGTCCATTTTCTCACATACTCTAAGGACACCTACACATGCATGTACACTCTTTTTACATGTTCTCAAAATTGCCATGCGAATCAATGCCAGTTTTTTTATCTGGTAGTAGACATGGCAAAGTTTTTGAAGGAACTTGGATAACTAGCTTATATTTCAGTCCAGCATCTATCTATCTATCTATCTATCTATCTATCTATCTATCTATCTATCTATCTATCTATCTATCTATCTATCTATCTATCTATCTATCTATCTATCTATCTATCTATCTGTCTGTCTGTCTGTCTGTCTGTCTGTCTGTCTGTCTGTCTATCTATCTATCTATCTATCTATCTATCTATCTATCTATCTATCTATCTATCTATCTATCTATCTATCTACCTACCTATCTATCTATCTATCTATCTATCTATCTATCTATTTGAAAGATGTCCCTTTGAGGACATAAATGCTATGCCCCTTTAGACATATAAGAAACATTCTAACATATTTTCTTTGCATTACTTTTTAGTGGTCATTAAGTGCTTCTGCTCTAAAACCCATGCGCAAGGCACATGTCTTACCTGCGACACTTTATACATAGAGAGGATACTGGAAATGTGGAAAAGGAAATCATAACTAGGTCCACCAATTACAGATACAGGGATATTCTCAAGATCACAGATGTAATTTGGGATGAATTGACCACTCTGAGAGAGGAGCTCCATTGAGGCAAGATAAATCCAGCTTGCAGTGAAATAGCCATTATAGAGGTGAAAACCCAAAGACACATTGGACAATATGTGTTGATTTTCATTGATCTCCTTCACAGCAAATGCAAAGGCCACAATATGTTGATAGAGGTGTGTCATAATCCTGCACAGTTAGATAAATACTGTGAAACGGTACATCGTGTTCACACTGAGGCATTCAAATCACTTCAGGTCAGTTCACATACATATATTTAAAAACTGTGCAAAAATGACAAGTCAAAAGACAAAGGTATAAACATTAGAACTTTGATTTGCCTTGACAAAAAAGGCTGATCTAGGAATGGAAAAATGTTCATTAAATTATTTTAAATTCTGACGTTGCACAGTTTGTCTCATGTAGATGACAGCAAAAGAAGCAGTGCTATTTTTTAAAAAAAATCTCCATAATTCGTGCAAATTATTTCCGTGTAAAACCAGCATATTTCCTCTCTGAGAAGTAAAGCATATACAGAGAGCAAGCACAGATTGGTTATCTGATTATTCAAGTCGACAACAAAAGACAAAAAGAAAAAGCAATAACTTTGTGACATCTTAAAGACTAACTGCTATATTTTAAAGTGAGGGACCATGATAACTTCTAATGCATGAAATGACAATGTAAGAGAGGCGCAACCATCACCATTTTGTATAAGTTCTGTTATTTCCACTTTTCTGTGTTAAAGTGCCATATTGTGCATTTTTTTGTTCAACTTTCAATCTGGCTTTCTGTAGCTTGGGGGGGAAAAACCCCCACAATATTTAGTATATATTTGACTCCACAGTGGCTATTTAGGAAGATTTATGTTGTGACAGATGTCTGAAATGTAATACTGGAAATGCATAACTGAGACAGAAATTCATTTATTTCAGTTCAATGAATTTGTTTATTTATTTATCTTATATGCTGCCCACACTACCCAAAGGTCTCTGGGCGGCTTACAACAATTAAAATACAGTAAAAAAAAGATAAAACAATAAAAATACATTTAAAATATACAGTATACTCTAAAAATTGCCATCAGGAGCCACAGTTGATATTATTTCAATTAAAAGCCTTCTGGAACAGGAAGGTTTTGACCTGGCACCAAAATGTCATTGGCGTCAGCGCCAGACAAATTTCAAATTGGGATGGCGTTCCATAGCCTGGGGGCAGCTGCCGAACCCAGCTAGCCTTTCCAGAAGGACACCATGGTTGATGGTGTTGGAAGCCGCTGAGAGGTCCATGGGTGTCAACAGGGTCACAGTCCCCCTTTCTCTCTCCTGGCAAAGGTCATCGTACAGGGCGACCAAGGCAGTCTCCGTACCAAAACCTAGCCCGAAACCTGATTGAAATGGATCCAGAAAATCCATTTCATCCAGCAGCAGCTGGAGTTGCCCGGCCACAACCCACTCCAACATTCGGTTACAGTGAATTGGTTATAGTGAGTACAGTAGGAGCCCTGTATCAATGGGGAATTGGTTCCAAGCCCCCCCCAAGATGCTTTAAAAAGTGCATTAAAGCAAATACTATACACAGCATTGTAAAAGGAAAAAAAACCAAGAAGAAAGCATTTTCACATGTATTATCAGAACGGGCCACTAGTGGGAGCCAGAGACCATTCTTCAACAACACGAACACATAGCATAGTTTCTGCCTCCCTCTAGTGGTCAGTTCTGGTAAATATGTGCTGAAAACAGATATTTTATTATTTTTCTTTTAATATTTTCAAACTGTGGATACATGAAATTGCAAATATTGTTCCTGTGGATACAGGGGTCTGACTGTACTGCCCTGGAGCTGATCTAGAATCACACCAATATTCATCTTCTGCCTTACTTGGACATGTTTCTCCAAATCTGGTGCGTGTCTCTACGGACAATTGATTTAGAAGGTATTTATTGATAGAGGTGGATAAATGAAACCCACAGCCAAATCCAAACTTCATCAGCCTTTTTAAACTTCGCTGAAGAAATCTGTTGGGGTTTCACAGTTTTCTTCAGTTGAAAAAAACAAGCCCAGCAAAAGAAAATGGATTTCATGAAAGACACTAGCAAAGAAGAGTTTGACTGTTTATTATTGTTACTTGAAGTCAGTGCAACCTGTTCCAGTGAGTCTATTCCGTGTATGACTAAGTCTTTAACCAGGTATAGCAACAAGGATTTTTCCCCCCATACGTTTCTTGTCATACTCATTGGGACCGTGAGCAACAGAGGGAGGAAAGAATCTGACTGCTTTCTCTAGTCTGAGATAAGAAATTGCAGCAGGATTTCACTCTTCTTCACTTATGTTCCCCTCTGAATTGGGAGTGTTTCCTGTACAGTGGTGCCTCGCTTAACGGGTGCCCCGTTTAACGATGAATCTGCATAGCAAAGAAGATTTTGCGATCGCTTTTGCGATCGCATTGCGATGTTCCCCCCATCATCACAAATGCCCCATTTTCTAACAGCTGATCAGCGGTTCCAAAATGGCCACTGGAAAAAATGGCTGCCCACTGTGTTTTCGCGCCCTTTCCTCGCTTACCAGGCAGTGAAAATGGCGACCAGATGGAGGATTTTCGCTTAAAGGTGAGTTTTTCCCCCACAGGAATGCATTAAACGTGTTTTAATGCGTTCCTATAGGGTTTTTTTTGCCCTGCATAGCGATGAACCCGTATAGCGACAATTTTTTCAGAATGGATTATCGTCGCTATGCAGGGCACCACTGTACGTGGTAAAAGTTGTTAGGGTTTTGGCTACAGTAGAATATGCAGAGTTATTGAAGACACTTTACCAGTTCTTCTTTTGTTGCAAGACAGTTGTATTTACACGTATTTACAGTTATATACAGGCAGGTATCTTAACAGCACAGCAGGAACTCTTTATACAAATGGACAGCATGCGTGGCAGCAAGTAATAGTGGAGGAAGAGAAAGAAGCAAACACACAGTCCACTTATATACATGTACGTGGCACATTCAGTCCAATCAGAAAACAGATGACTTCATGCTTTGCACCTGGTCTTCTCCTGGTTTCAAGTCATTACATCATGTCCAGAGTGATTCAGCACTCTCACATCTGTGCACAATGGCAGCTCGTTAATGAAACACATATACAGGTTCAGGCTTATAAAATTTCTATACTCTGACAAAAGTGCCATGCAGAGGACATCCGTATAGCGACAATTTTTTCAGAATGGCACCACTGTACGTGGTAAAAGTGCCATGCAGAGGATTGATATGTGCATCAGGAGTGGAGTGGGGAAAGAATCGGTACATGCACCACGGTTACTTCGCCACACCTACAGTTTATTATGCCTGAATAGAGAACATTTAGCTGTGCCAGACCAAGTGTCTATTTTAAAAATCTTCTTAATTGTCCCTTTTCATTCAGCTCTGGTTTCAGTAACATTACATAACATTTGGGAAAGAAGATGCAACCAAGCAAACCAATGCTGGAAGTCAAGATGGAGAAAACCTCCACAGCAACCATATATTTCCCCTTGGTGCTCAGATAGGTTGGAACAAAGGACACCCAAACGCTGCAAAAGACCAACATGCTGAACGTAATAAACTTGGCTTCATTAAAAGTGTCTGGTAACTTTCTGGCCAGGAAAGCAACGCACAAGCTGACTATGGCCAGGAAACCCATAAAGCTTAGCACACAGTAGAACATGATTGTTGAGCCTTCATTACATTGAAGGACAACTTCTGTGGCCATTGTGTGCATATCAAAGTCTATGAATGGGGGAAAGGTGACTAGCCACACTATACAAATGGTAGCTTGAATAAGGGAGCATAAGAGAACAATAGAGTAGGCCAACTCTTTTGCTACCCATTTCTTCATCCTGGACTCTGGCTTGGTGGCCACGAAAGCAAGAACCACAATGCTGGTTTTGGCTAAAATGCAAGAAACGGCCACCGTGAAGACCATCCCAAAAGCAGTTTGCCGAAGAAGGCATGTCACCTTATTCGGTGGGCCAATGAAGAGCAGAGCGGAAAGGAAGCAGAGCAGGAGTGCTAGGAGAAGAAGGTAGGAGATCTTGCGGTTGTTGGCTTTGACAATGGGAGTGTCCTGGTATTTCAGGAAAATGCCAAGCACCCCAGCTGTGAGGAAGGAACAGATCAGAGCAACAGTGGCTAAGACAATACCTAAAGATTCTCCATACGACAGGTAGGTGATTGCTTTTGGAAGGCATCCATTTTTCTCCTTGTTCGGGTATTGTTTTGCAGGGCATTCAAAACAGAAATCCATATCTGAAAAAGAAATATATTTCTAAATACCCTTGCATACCTGGCAGTTCTACAAACTGAACATTGTAGAACTCAAGAATAAACTCTGCAAAGGTCAGAACAATTAACAATAGGACAACATGTGATCAGCCATTCCCATATCTTTCTCAAGACATTAGCCAGATTCCTCCTGAGAATTTGGTGAAACTAATTGCACAATTGCAGCAAAAACAATCAAATGTGTAGTACAGTGGTGCCTCGCTTAACGAGGATAATCCGTTCCAGGAAAATCACTGTAGAGCAAAATCCTTGTTAAACAAAATTAAAAATCCCATTGAAACGCATTCAAAACCCGTTCAATACATTCCAATGGGCTGAAAAACTCACCATCCGGTAAAGATCCTCCATAGTGGCGGCCATTTTAGGTGCCTGTATTGCGAGGAATCCATCCAAAAACACAGTGGGGAGCCATTTTACACAGCGGGCGGCCATTTTGAAGTCGCCAATCAGCTGTTTTAAAAACTTTGTAATGCAAAGAATCGGTTCCCGAAGCAGGGAACCAATCGTCACAAAGAGGATTTTGCCTATTAAAACATCGTTTTGCGGTCACAAAAGCGATTGCAAAACAGTCGTCGTATAGCGGTTTTGTCATTTAACGAGGCAATCGTTAAGTGGGGCACCACTGTACTTTCATTCCCGTTTTCAACTTAGCACAAAACCAGAAATGTGAGTGATTATCATTAGCAGCAATTCACTGCTGTAATTTATTCAATTGTGCTTCAGTTTAAATCCTCAACAGGACTTTGAAATCAAGTCCTTCAATATCTACATTGCTTCTGTTTTGGCATGTCTAATGAAGAGTATATAGTAATAGGTGGTTGGATTCCAATGAAGGATGTATCATTCCTGAATTCTGGCTTAAAGTGCACTTCTGGTGCAATGCGAACTATTCTGCTTACCTCCATCGCAACAGGATGGAATCCCTCTCTTCTGTCCCACCCCACCATCATTTTCGGTGATGGACAGAAGAACAGCTATACAGTTCATAGAGCCTACAAGCAATATGGTGTTCCTTACCTTTCTGGTTTGAAATCTTCCCTTCTGGACATGGAAGGCAATCGTAGCAGCAAAATGGCTGCCCTTCCTTCTTGGCCTTTCTGTAGCCGGTCTGGCAATGGTCATTGCACAGGGAAAGGGGACGGGTCTGCTCGGAAAGGAAAAAGAGTATGGTTTTCATGTTCCATTTCTTTGGCCCATCTATGAATTTACAGTAATGAAATGCAGATGTGATCATATGGTAGAACGGTTTTACTTATAAAGACAATGTTTTATGCAGCATCTGCCAATATCTTTTGGTACAGTGGGAACTTTACCATTACTCCACTCATCCTGTTGTTATGTTAAAAACCTTGGGACACATAGTGACACCCTCAACATTTATTTCAAAGAGATTTACTTTGCATGCTGGTTTACAAGTCTGCTATAATTTCTGGATTATTGTTTTTATTCACTGTGTGTATAAAAACTTACCGTATTTTTTGCTCCATAAGACGCACTTCCCTCCCCCCAAAAAAGTGGGGGGGGGAGTCTGTGCATCTTATGGAGCGAAGGTGGCAATTTCGCCTCCACTGGCCCCGTGGGGGGAGCTTCCCAAGGGTCCGAGTGAGCCTTCCAGGACCTTTGTGACGCTCCCCCACCCCCACGGGGCCAGCGTGGGCAAAATCACCAGCTTCCAGGACCTTTTGTGAGGCTTGAAAGGCTCAGAAAAGGTCCTGGAAGCTGGTGATTTTGCCCACGCTGGCCCCGTGGGGGTGGGGGAGCGTCGCAAGGGTCTGAGTGAACCTTCCAACCTGAGGGGTTCATCTTCCAGCGTCATATCTTTTAGCCTTTTGTTTCTGTCCATTGAGGTTTTGTTGCTGTTGTTGTTGTTTTTTGCAAAAATACTGGAATGGCTTGCCAGTTCCTGCTCCAGGTGGATTGCGTTTAGTCAGAATTCTCCACTATGACCTGTCCATCTTGGGTGTCCCTGTGTGACATAGTCCATAGCTTCTCTGAATTACTCAAGCCCCTTCGCCACAACATGGCAGCAATCCATGAAGGGGCTTTTACCCTCTACTGGTCGAAAATTGTTTAAATTCAAGCCTGAACTCATAGCCATTTGGACAGGGTCAGGTGCTGTGGATTACATGTGGTCCTCCTGCTGCCCACTCCTGCAATAAAGTTGTGCTCTTTAAACCGGATGTATTTTTAAAAAGATCACTGATAAGAACCTCTTCTGTTAATACTTCCCAATACTGATACATGGATCCACTAGATTCATTTGAATATTAAGGAAGTCAAAATCTCAGCACTTTGTTCCACTTTTCAAGTGGACAACCTGGTTTTCCTGCATGTTTGCCATGCATAATTTGAATCAAAGCTTTGAGAAGTGAGTTAAACTACTGTTACCAGTTAAGGATCTGTCATATCACACCTAGCTGGTCCCTGAGATACGAATGTAGTGAGAGAATAATTATTCATCTTTTTCTGAAAGCCCCAGAAAACATCTAGATAGACTTTAAAACTGAGCTTACTTGGTTGAACCTGTCAGGCCAAGTCAGAATCTCTTCATGAATGGTGAGGCTCTTCCCCAGAGAAGCCTGTGGATCCATCATCCCAAGTTTTACTCTACGAAAGGATTCATTTGGCAATACCACCCAACTGATAATATCAAATGCCGCTATTAAGTCCCCATTTTGGTCAAAGGAAATCTCGTCCATGGCACTATTATTGAATGACAAACCTCTGAGAAACTGGTGCAGCTAAATGAACAGAAAAGGGGAAAAACATAAGTTATGAAGTAAAATAAATGACATCCAAAGCCTTTTAGACATGAGGGCTAGAGAAGTGAAAATCTAAGTCTAATGGCAGAAGTGTAAATACGCTTTCAACATGTTTAGAATTAGCGTGCTGGGGCAAAATTAACAATTATAACTGAATCCCTGAACCCCATTTCAGGAGAAATTTTAATCGTTTTAATATTTTCATGTTTAAATCTTTTAATTGTATTTTAAATCATGTATTGTTTAATTTATATTTTAATATTTAACTTATTGTGTTTTTCAGTTGCGTGAATTTTAATGTTGGGAGCCACTCTGGGTCCCTTGTTGTGAGAAATGTGGCATAAAAATAAAACTAATAAATAATAAAAGCAAGGAAGAGTCTTGAGGGATGTTTGATGGATTACATGAGCCATCAAACCAAGAAAACAACACCAAACTGAAGAAGAAAAACAGCCACCCACAAATAAGGTATTTCTGCCATACATTAAAGGGGTCACGGACTGCATGGGGAAACTTTTGAAAAACACACAACCTACAAACAGTATTCCGGCCCACCACAAAAATACAACAAATGTTACGCTCAGCAAAGGACAAAAGGGACCCCCTCACCACTGCAGGAGTATACCGGACACCTTGCAGTTGTGGCCAGTATATATTGGAAGCACAAAACACAGCATCCACACCAGAATCAAAGAACATGAGAGACACTACAGACTAAAGCAACTGGAAAAATTGGCAGTAGCAGAATATGCCCTGAAAAAAGCTGGTCATGAAATTCTATTTCAAAATACTGAAATAAAGGACAACACCAGCAATCATTATGTCAGACTGCACAGAGAAGCCATTGAAATCCACAAACACCAGCAGAGCTTCAACAAAAAAAGAAGAAAGTCTAAAACTCAACAAAACCCAGCTCCCAACACTGAAAAATACAGCCAACACAAGGTCAAAAAACTCTACCCAGCCACAAGATCGGTGATTACTGCACACAAAATACCAGCTAATGACACGCATCAATCACAGTGACGGATCATCTGTCTCCCTGATCACAACAATACACTCACAACAAAAGAAACACTGATGACCATAATCATCCAATTTCCTTGGCCATGTTCTTAAGGTTTTTCTTTCTAATCTCCTATCCAATCTCCTGAAAAGGACAAAAAGCTGATCCCACAGCTATAACTACTCAATGATCCCACAAACTGCACCAGAGCACAGAGTTCTGACTCCTGTCCTCTGAAGATGCCAGCCACAGAGACTGGTGAAACATTAGAAAGAAAAACCTTAAGAACATGGCCAAAGAGCCCGAAAAACCTACGACAACCATCGAATCCCAGCTGTGAAAGCCTTCAAAAATACAGTCTTGAGGGAATTTACGGATCCCAGCTGTGAAAGCCTTCAAAAATACAGAGTATTTTTAGAGTAACATGATTTATTGGGCAAATAAACACAAATGTGTTTATAACACATTTTTGCCATATGATGTACAATATCTTCCACACCAGCCAGAATCCTAATATATACAGTCCTTATACACTTGGTTACCAGAACGGACCTATTGCATATGGGCATATTTGTATTCTTCCCCACAAGCAGCCGTTGGCCCCAATGAATCCTGTGGGTAATCTTCTGGTTGTATAATGCATTCCAAGATGGTTATGACCCCAGGTTCTCCATTGAAGATTACCTCTGAATTGGAAGATTCAAGGGGCCCTATTACATACCCTCTGAACCACAGAATTATGTATGTATGTATGTATGTATGTATGTATGTATGTATGTATGTAGGTAGGTAGGTAGGTAGGTAGGTAGGTAGGTAGGTAGGTAGGTAGGCAGGCAGGCAGGCAGGCAGGCAGGCAGGCAGGCAGGCAGGCAGGCAG